AAAAAAAAAAAAAAAAAAAAAGCATTGGTACTTTAGGTCTTCCAGGAGTCATGGTCACCACAAACAGAGACACAAAATCACACTGTGGATTGAAAAACCACTCCAGAGAAAACATAATCCAAGGCAGCAGTTATACATACCTACCTCAAATGGCATCAGGCACTGTGCAGTGAGTTTAAAGTGTAATTAAAACTTCCCTTTTAGCTTTGAGCCCTGACACGTTCATGAAGCTCCTGACAGAGCCCTGGCTGTGGTTTGGTCTGGATGGAGACCCAGTCCCTGCCCTCAGTGCTGCACTGCTGGTGGCCCAGGCTAGCCCAGCTGCACTGGCAGGCAAGGGTCTGCACAAAACCAACCCCCAGGAGGACTCCTGCCCGCCTCAGGGTGCCAGAGGCTCCAAACGCAGCTCCTTCCTAGCAGAGGCTACTTCAGCAGTAAGCTGCAGTTTGGTACCGCAAACACCAGCTGCTCAGTGGACTTGAGTATGCTCCTATGAGGGCATTTTGGGGAGCTTCTCCTGAAGGTCTGACCCCCTGTGCCTCTGCCAACAGTATCTAACACATGGTCGGTGTGGGGTCTGTGATGGATTGATGCATTTTCAAAGGGAAACAGAAGGAGGAAGAGAATAGCAAAGAGGATGCATCTCAAGAATCTTGGAAATTCAGCCATGCCAACATGTCTGAAAGATCAGGTGTCCATCTGTCACTTCTAGGCCTGGGAAGTTGTTTGGGAAATGTGATTGCAGGTTTTCCTCAGCTCTGGATCTTTCCGCTCTCCCTGCAGTTTAACAGTTACTAAATCAGTCTCATGGCATTTGCACTTCGCTGCTGCTTTCCCACCTACAGCTGGAAAACTATCTGGAAAGGAAGGAAACAGAACTTTCTCTAATTAGAAAAATATATATAGTCTCAACTCATATTGGTCCTTGTTTACATTAAACACACCCATCCCATGTTGCTTCACCAATGCTACCTGACGCTCCTTGGACCAACAAACCTCACAGCCTAAAATCCTGGCATCCCAGGCCCATCCAGCCGGGTCCTGGGGTGAAGCTCTCCTAACATGGTGGCACATGGGAACAGATACCTGTGCAATCACTGTGGTATCTGTCCCCAACAGCTTCTTCCTGATCAGAAAGCAGCACTAAGAACAAGTTTTCTGTAGGGGAAACAAGAAACTCTTTTTCCTTCACTGAGAAGTTAATTAATAGAGATGCCTGCAAATCTACGGGGGTTTTATCCATCCTTAAGGGGTCAGTGCAGCCAGACTACCAGGCTACACCTGATCCCCTATTTAATAGCACCTGCATTTGCATTTGGGGGTCTCTTCTCCAAAATTGCTGAGTGGAGGTTCATCTGCACTGACCCAGCCTGCAAATCCCCAAGGCTGACATCACTTATCTCTGTTTGTGCAGTAAGGAGCGGAATGAGACTCTGATTATGAGCAGGTCAGCTATATAGAAGTTGAAACTCAGTAACATAAAAAATGATCACAAGAAACCCAGGTGTATTCAATAGTGGAACACATGAAGTTTGCTCAACCAAAATCCTCCAGACACATAATCAGGCACATGTGGAGACCATAAATTGAATAAAATAATATTAGGTTTATGGACACAAACTCACCAGTCTATGCCATATAAATGACAGCACCTGAACAGAAAAATCCTTTCACAGGAGGCATAATACTGCTTCCGTTATACTTACTGTATCATCATCTGTGAATAACGGAGTGCTAATTGTCAAGGAGGCCATAAGTAGGCACCATTCAGTCCTCACAGCTCTCAGCTTACAAGTGACATTGATTTCTAAGTATTTTTTTACAGCGAATATGAATCAAGGAGTTCAAAAATAAGGAGCAAGAAAACAAACCAGAAAATTGGATTCAGAGAAAGAAAAGAAAGTGTGATTGGGGAAAGCAAGATATCCCTTTGACTGAATCCTAGAGATTTTGAATTCTCAGGCAGAGCAAAACAGCCAACACCACCCGGTAAGCCTCCGAAGGAACTTGAGCAGCTGTTGTCTGACCTCTGAGCCTGCACAGTGTTTGGGGACATCCCTGGGACAAATCCTAAGTGATCCTGCAACAACACCCAAGGGATAAAGAACAAAGTCTGCTTGTAGAAAGTACCTAGAGCAGCAGCCAGGACTGCAGAAGCCCTGCTTGGCCCCCAGGACAGAGCTGCACTGCTACAGCAAATGCAAAGCCTCTTGAGGGGATTCACCAACCAAGCTCCCAACACCAGTTATCAGTGCACAAAACAGCGGCGGGGGCAAGAGAGAGACCTAGTGGGACAAAAGGGGGGGAAAAACCTGAATATTTTCAAGCTCTGCTCAGCATCGAGACCTGGTTCTGCTGCAAAGGTGATGGCCACTGTGCAGCACCACCACCACTGCCCAGCAGCATTCCCGGGGTGAAAGAAAAATGAACAAACTGAAAAAAAGGCCTAAAGAAGTCTCTACCTTAACTTGGAAAACACACCTTTCTCTTTCACTGAGTAGACAAGGAGGGAGGAATTCTGTTTTCATTGCTGAAAGGCGAGACCAGTACTTATTTTTATCAGGACTTTGAGCTCAGGGCTGGAGCCTTGTGAGGCTCTGACCAGGGGTAACTGGATTAGTTGTTGCATTATGCAACACATCCCTGTTAGGCACTGCCAATCAGTTCATAACAGACACCGGATAAGGCAGGCCTCCGTCAGAGCCTTTGGAGCAATTACTGAACATCATGGGAAGAACTGTAGTGCAGCAGTTAGCAAAAAAGTCATGTATGACCAGGAAGTTACAGGCACATAAACATTTCAGTCACCATTTATGCACCACACTGTGCAATTTATGTAACACAGTGAAACCCAACAGAGGCAGGGGCATAGGGTAGGGGAACCTCCCAAATATTTTTGTGTATTCAAACAATCTGGATTTAAAGATGTTTGCAATCTGCATACACTTATTTTGCCCACAATTATTCACATCCCTTCACTATGACAAGCACTCATCAGTATTTTTTTCCCCTATTGTTGCAAGACACAGAGGTCCTCAGCTGGACGGCTGCATGCAGGGGCAGTGCTATGTCTTATGAACAGTAATGTGCTCTCTCTCTCAGGCCCAAGCATTGCTCCACAGTAAAGAAAGTACAGGTAATAGCAACATCATCTTCTGACTGGAGGGAATTAATCTAGAAAACTTCATGAAGTACTGAAGCAAACCAAGATTTCTGTTTTACTCTTTGTGAATGAACAGCCCTACTACCTGAGTGCCCTTGGCTTCTGTGGATAATTATTCCCAGGTAGGTAAATGGCCTGCAGGGTACCTCAATATCATACAGGTGGCACCAATCACTAGACAGTTTTTGCTCTTCAAATCTCAGGTGAATTTGCTCTTCAAATCTCAGCACCCTGCAGCAAACGCAGAGAACTATAAAGCATGGCTGGTTCATTTGCTATGCTGTGGCAAAGAAACCACAGAGCATTCTTGTTGAATCCAGAGCTGAAAAGCAATAATGCCACATAAATGAGCCACTAATAAGAAATGACTTGACATGTGCTGCTCTGCGTGTCTCTGTGTGGCATGAGACCAGGGGGGTCTGTGCTGATGGAGAACTTGCTTTCTCTCTTTTTGTTCTTGTTATTGATGTCAATAAGACCTGTAACCTGAAGAAATAAAGTGACAGGATCCGCCCCATCCTGCCTCTTCCCACAGGCCTTCCGCTTTAGGACATGCAAATATGACCCTTGTTTGCATGTGGTCATGACTACAGAACTCTCGCTACACTGTGCGAGATCCAACGGCACTAAAGCACTGGAGCTCAAACCTTTGGCAACAGCGCAAGAGCTTTTCAGAATTTGTCATTTATTCTGTGCTCTGAAACACTGAGAGATAGTGTCTGCTGGGCAGGGCTCCCTACAGACCAGAGTATCATCATGCCAAAAGACAGGCAGCTTCACCAGAAGTTCAGAAAAGCAACTTGCCCATGCAGCTTGCACCACTTGGCCCAAAGATAGACAAAGTGGGAGACTAAAGGTAAGTGTCTACAGCAGCAAAGCAAAACCTTGATTTTCAGTAAAGCTCTGAGCTCCAAGCAAAGCTGCTCTTTGGTTCCCTAAAATAAATGTCAGACAGCTAATTGTGCTGGGCCTCTTTACTTATACTAACAGAGAATGACTGAAACTGCCAAGTCTGCTTCTCCCTTCTTTTGTATGACTTTGAACTGTATAAATGGCATCACTTTCTTCTTTTCAAAGCAGCCAATTGAAATGTGCCCCACCAAACTGAAGGGAGATGTTACCTAACAGTCTGCTCTCCCTGCAGCAACAATTCTAACAGCAATGCTAAATAAGTCCGATGAAAAGGAGACAATGTTCATCCATTGCGCAGACACTTACCTAGAACTTTATTCTGCTGTTTTGAAAGACAGAGTATTACTATTGCAAATACTACTCTCTCTAGGGATCCTACCACTATATTCTACGTTTCATACGGACTGACACAGAAGAGTTAGCTCATCCACACAGTTAAAAAATACTGACAGAAAATAGGCACACTTCTATTTTGAAGCAAATAGATTTTCCCCTCAGTTTTTATGGCTTTTTACTGCTTCACAAGCTGTTTAGTGATCATAGCTCTAAAAGTATATCTGAAGAAGCACATTGCAAGTCAGAAAACCTTATCTCTCAAAGCTCATTCTTATCTCCAGAAGAAAATAGATGGTGTACACATTTCAGCTTAGACTATCTTCAAGTATCTCTGGCAGTGAGCCTCTCCTCTGCTGTATATAAATTGTGGTACGATCAGCAAAAGGCAGCGTCTCAAGGCAGCTGTGGCATTTGGCAAATATAGAATGCAGCAACTATAAGGAAAAGACCTTGCCCAAGTGCTGCAGAATTCCTCAGTATATTTATGTATTCCTCAGCCTACATAAATGGCAGAACCCAGGCAGCATGCAGCCTCTCAGAAAAATTTGCCTTTGCTCCACCTATAGATGTGATGTGAGAACCAGCTCACCTAGCTCTGGACACCTACCACTTAGGTGTCTGCACCCAAGCAGATCAACCCTAAGCTCCTTTACAGGACAGAAATAAACACCTCCAGGCATACAAACACCTCCAGGCATACAACCTGTAGTAGGCATATTTGGGGATAAAATTAAAAGCTCCTGTTTCTCTCCACTGACTATAAAAGCTACCTTTCACATCATCTTGCCCACACCATCTCAGATGAAACCTATCCATGACATCTCCTCCATAAGGTCCCGTGTTTCTGACTATCCTGCTTACTCAGGCAGTGGCTGCTGCAGGTCCCAGGCTTCTGGCAGCACCTGCCTGCCTGGCAAAGCCAAAACCACCACTTGGCTCCTGGTTAGCAGACCCAAGCATTGGCACCTTGTGGACCAAAGCAGCTCCCAAGAAGGTCCCAGCCAGGTCTGATATCACTGCACAGGGTGCCCTAAGTTTTAACCTCTGCATGCTGTAGACAGTGCTTCTTTCCTCACCATAACAACTAGTTTTTGCAATAAAGCATTGGTGGTTACCTTCTGCAAAGAGTTATTCAGGGACAACAGGCTATCATCCTGGGCACACCAACTAGGTCTATAGCCTCTCCAGGGAGGGGATGATACTCAGAGCCAGCCTAGGACAAACCTGAAGCTCCCAAGGCATCCAATGGGCCACCCACAGGAGAGCAGGGCATCTCTGTGCCTGCCACCCTGCTCCAGCTCCCCAGTTCCTCCAAGGTCCTAGCACACACCGGCATCCATTTTCCTATGTGTCTTAATAAACTTAAATATCTGATGCCAACATTCCCATGCTGAGCTCTCAATTGCACCAGCAAGCATTGAGCTATTCCCACCTAGGTCTCTGTCGTGTGTTTAACTTCCAAGTGCTGGTGGGGTAGGACCAGCCTCCTTCTTCAGTCCCTAATGTGGCAGACGTATTCAAGTGATTAACTTAGCAAACAAGAACAGTCTCAGCTCTACCAAAATTACTTATCCTAGCCAAATTTAGAAAGTGTCATGTGCCTCCAGAACTGGAGTCTAAACCCCACAAAACCTTGGCTGATCTGGAGCTCTTAAATACCTGTCATCCCAAAGTCCTCCCAGGGTGCCCGCACACTTCAGTAACAGCAAATCACTGCTGCCACATCACCTTTTATATCCCAGCAGATCATCAGAAAGAGACAGGCAAAAGGACTCTCTCCTCTTCCTGTTTACTGAAGGAAGGAAACCACACATCACCCTTACACACATGTAAGTCACATCAACTCTGGTAGCAAAAGTAAGAAATGAAATGGAAGAGGATATGCTTTAAGTTACAACTTTCCACTCAGCAAACATGTATGAAAACTGGCAGTTCTGTGAACGTTTGTTACACGTGTCTGATTCATTAATCCTCCATTAACACAATTCCTGATCTAGTTTGCACCATTTATTGGTCTCCCCTTTTCTTTCAGCCCTTCATAAACACAGTAGGATTTCTCTTCCATGGAGGAAAGGAACATTAATATCAAAGTCAGAAATTTGCCATCTGAGTTTTAAAAGCCAAGGAGTTTTTATGCATAAAATGACATATTTTAAGGGAAACTTTCCTCAGATTTTTATATTTTTACTTCAAGTAGTAAAACCATTTTTCTGCTTTCTATGTAGCTTTTCATCAGTAGAGTTGTCTTGCAAAGTTCTGCATTAAACTCTGTGTACTAAACCACATCACTGTGTAGAGGTGTGTGTATATACATATGCATGTATTTATATATATTTCAAACAGAACCAATGGACAGCTGTTAAACAGATGCATAAGCACTTCTGCCTATGCAAATGTAGATTACTCACCTCAAGTGCTGGTTAAAATAGCATGTAAATGGTTGCGAACCCACTTTCTCTTTCCAGTATTTCTGCTTGTACGTGACGTTCTCAGAGTTCTCCTGATCATCTCTTGCGCAGGGAGGGATGTATGAACACTGCCAACACATGTTGCAAAACACAGTTACTTCTGTGCTCAAGAACAAAGTGCATCTCTGCATTTTCCTCATAATACCAGTGTGACTGAAATGGGCAAAGAATAATAAATACAAGCTCCAAAGAAACAAAAAATAAAAGTTAGCTGAAGTTTATTTCAATTGCTACTTTTTCCCTGCAGGTACTGGAAAAAGCCAGCATTCAGAAACAAAACAGAGGCCTTATCATGTTTTATTCTATTATCAAACCAACCTGTCACATAACACTCTGGGTTTTTGCATGATGAACGTAAAAATGATCATTTAATTTTGACATGTCCCTAGCCAGCTGCCTGGATTGGATTTGAATTACTTCCTAGTTTCAGTGAGGCACATAATCACAAGTTTTGTTTAGCACCATGCTAATAAATGACCAAAATATTCTGGTAAGCTTTCCTAGATGATGGGATATCTCATATCTGGCTGATACCTGCTGGCTGAAGACAGGTATTCTTCCACTGTTACAACATGAGGAAACAAGCATAGCAAGTTCAAAGCTCCACTTCAGCAGAAAGGTTCAGCATCTGCTTCTACTGTATAGAAGTCAACAAGAGCTGAGTGTGCAGCTGAGCTGTCTGCAGATCTCACCCTCAGACATCTGCTTCAAAGCCCAAAGAGAGGAAGTTCCTCCCCCAGCTCGCTGTGCTTGTGTCTGGGCTTTCAGAGACTCGGCTCTGGGTCACACACAGCCCACATGTCTTGTTTACAAGTCTTGTCTTTGACACGCTACCCTTCCCTCTTAGCCACAGGGAATCTACGAAGAGAGAAGAAAACAAAACAAAATAAAACAAAACAAAACAAAAAAACCCCAAACCAAATAGTCCACTGAATCCAATATTGGCAGTATCAGGATCTCAGTGTCCAAGCAAAATCCCTCCTGTTGTTACCAGGCATCCATATGGGAGATCATCACAGGAGATGCTGAATCAAACTGAGTAACACAGCTTAACTGATCCTTGGATAACATTAAGGCTTTTTGCCCTGGAGGATGCATGGACAGCAAGGTTCCAGATGCACATTCAGAATTTTTATTGCTTTAAAGGTGGGAGCTGCAAGCAGAATAAAGTGACTGGGAAGGTAGCTGAAAATCCTCCTACTTAGGTAAGATGAGGAAACAGGAGATGCAGGGTGAAGGAAGCTCCTAAAGGGATCCCCACATATGATCACAACATGAGCTTCTTCACAGCATCCTGAAGGCAACAAGGAGAGAGATACCTTCTCTGACCTGAACATAAAGATCACCATGACTCACTGTGCCTAGTGAGTGCTTTCCTCTCCCTTTTCATCTGCTGAGGTTTCACAGGGGCCTACTGTGCTCCTCAGCTGCATGCTGTCCCCAAGCTGTACAGACCTAGAAGTCTACCTCCACTATACAACAGCTTGAATCTTTGCCTTTTCAGGAGGATGGGAGAAATCTCAGGATTTTATTGGCCTGATCATGTAAAACCTGATCACCTCTGTCACCACTTGCAGTTGCTGCCAGTAGCTTCCACGCTGAAATGATCTGCAAGGTCTTGCTTGTTGATTCCAAGCTGAAACTTGCCTTTTTTACATGCAAGGGCCCCCATTTTCACATGGGGCCACATCTGGTGTTGCCACAGCAGAGACTTCCCTTTACATATCTGTTCAGATGACCCTAAACAAGGATTCTCCCACTGCTGACGACAAAGGACAGAAACGAGCAGAAACACAACTCAGCTTCAGAACCCAGAACATAGTATTTATCACACACAGTTATTTCCATCTTAGATAGTATTCCTTCACCAGCAGTGTTTTTGTTTTGATTGCATACTTTGGAAGCATCAATCACCTTCCTCTTTCCTCCACTCTCCCAGTGCACAAACACATCTGTGCAGTAGCTGGACAGAGTCAGTAGAGTTGGCACGAAGACACCCAAGGGCAATGCTGACTCTGCTCTGTCTACCCAGCGACCACCAATGTGCCGCATCATCCCACCTGGTCCTTTGCTAGTGCCCCCTGCTCGTCCCAGCATCCAGCACTCCCAAGCTTCTCCAACCCAGTGTTGTTCTTTGTGATGTTTTTCATATTCTGCTGTGGAAATGGTACCATATCCCACTGGTTGTACTTTCACTGCCTATGTCTGACTGTAATCTACACCCTGCTCTTCCCCAAGCCCCCAGCTTTTAAGGACACAAGAGAGTAGTAAACAGGATTTACTCAGAGTCCCCCCAACCAACCACTATTTAGCCAGCATGTAAAATCAGAACAACTAGACAAAACAACTAGCTACCGATATACATTCTTCTGCCTAAATTTCCTCAGCAATCTCAAGAAGTCCTTTTCCTGTGGCACCAGCTCCAGTATGCAGCTTCTCTCTTTCCTCTGAAATGTTTCTTCCTCATGGCTACCACTCCACCAGTCCTCTGCTGGCCAAACTTTCTCTGGATCCATCAGAGAACTTCCACCTTCCCCAAATATCACATGAATCCTTCACGAAGTTCACAACCTGATCAACCATTGTTTATTCCCATCCTGAGTTTCAGGCTCAGAAATGACTGCACAGACCTCTTTTTCCAAGAGATGTCCATCTGAATGGAAAAGTAGCAAGTCTCCAAGGACAGCTCTGTCACAGAGGACTTCACAATTTTTTACTTCAGTCCCCACACTTTTAGCTCAATATGAAGCTATTAAAAATAGAGTTTTTCGGGGTAGTGATTTTGCTTGGTTTGGATGTAAAGGGACCCACAGACAGCTTCCCTGATCAACATTCACCTCTCCCCATGTCAAGGCATGACAGTATATGGGAGTACCACCACTGCCTATGGGAGGGACACCTGGAAGTTGGGGACAACAGTGAAGATGCTCTCTGTAACTCAAACTTCACACCACTTTTTGCACAAGTAATCCCAATGGTGACTGACAGAAAACAGGATGGATTCATTTCCACCTCTTCCACTTTATCTTCATGTGGAAAACAGAAAGGAGGCACCCAGGGGCTTGCCTTAAATAGATGGGACCTCATTGCTCGGGCCTGTCAAGGATTAACAGCCCTGTTCAAGGCAAAAGCATCATCATATGAATCCCAAGGGTCATCCTGAAACATCTCAATGTGATGTAGGCCTTGAGCCACAATGAACACCCAAGGTCCAACTCCAGTGTAGACTTATCACCTGCTGCACAAACACCGAAGCTTGTTTCCCTCCCCAGAATGCCAGCAGTTTCCATCAACCTGATATTAATTTTGCCCCCTTCTGATCCACATAGGTGGTGGATCTCTCTCTTCTCAGCCTCCCAAGCACACTTCTTTGGGACTTTGCTTGATCAGCTGTATTGTCCTCCAGAGCACAGTCAGCAGGCGGATAAAAGGGAATCATAACGTGGCAACTTTCACCGCCGTGAGTTGGTGGATGAACCTGAAATGATCTCCCACTTTGGCAACAGGAAGTTTCTGAAAAGTTAATTCTGCAGTCCTCCCCCACGAGACACAGCATGAAATCCTACCATCAAAACGTAAACAAATTGCAAGTATTTGAAAGCAAGCTAGGACGCCTTGTGCTCAATTGCAGCTTGCGCAGCAACATCCATTTTCAGCGGAAGTGTCCCACTCTATATTTCATTGATTTTTTTTCTTTAACAAGTTACAATGAAGCTGGAGAACAGCACTTAAGATTAGACATTCACAATAAATCTAATGGAGTGGAGGCCTTTGCAGCGGATCCATTGGTACATGGTGCCGTAATCGCACCTCCTACGCTATGTCATAGCAACGATAAAATTATTATGCAATTCAAATGCAGTCTCAATTACACAGCTCAGAATCAGTACCAGGCTAATAATACTCCCCCTTCAATCAAAGCCAGCATTTGGATAGATGACTCAGGGTTCAATTCAGTAAAAATGTCAGCGAGCAGCTAATATACCTTTACACCAAGGTTTTGTAACATTTGTATCTGTGTTTGCTTCTGGATGCTCCCACTCCAGTGTCTCTGCAGACGCCTGGGAAGATTCCTGGTCCTTCTGCACACTTCATTGGAGCAGATACTCTTCCATATCATGAAAAAGGGACAGAGGCATGAACTCTTGACCGTGGTTTAGCTTCTAGATTGTGTTTCATGCTTTCCAAAGACTAATTCTTGCCAAATTCAGTCACATTTTTATGAAAAATAAGCTACTCAAGCCTAGAAGACACTGTCTACAAGATGAGACAAAAAAAGTCTCAAATGCAAACAGACATAAAGATCCAAAGTAGAAGCAAGTTAGCCCATTAGAAGACAAACTGATGGCACTGAGAAGAAAGACTCCAGCCTCAGTCTCCAAGCAACTTGTCAGGGACCATCTGCTGGTGAACTAGGGGACACATGTACCACTTGCTTGGTGCAGCAGAAAGCCCCCACATTGTGTGTCACACAGGTTGGGAAGCTTGTGATGAAAAGGAGGAGAGTAAAGGATGCTCTAGATAAGGATCATTGTAAAAGCACAACGTACCACTGAAGTCAACAGTTTCCAGCTCCTGATCTCCAAGTGTAAAGAGTTTGTGTGGGAAGGTTTTGGTAGAGGGGAGAGTATAGGGGGTAGTTTCTGTGAGACACTGCCAGAAGCTTCCCCTGTGTCCAATGGAGCTAATGCCAGCCAGCTCCAAGATGGCCCCGCCACTAGCCAAGGCTGAGCCCATCAGTGATGGTGGTAGCACCTCTGGGTTAACATAATTTAAGAAGGGGGAAAAAATTACTGCGACACAGTAGCCAGAAGAGAGGAGTGAGAATATGTGAGAGAAACAGCTCTGCAGATACCAAGATCAGTGAAGAAGGAAGAGGGGAGAGGCTCCAGGCACCGGACCAGAGATTCCCCTGCAGCCCATGGTGAAGACCATGGTGAGGCAGGCTGTCCCCCTGCAGCCCATGGAGGTCTACGGCGGAGCAGGTGGATGCCCAAAGAAGACTGTGACCCCATGGGAAGTTCGTGCTGGAGCAAGCTTCTGGCAGGACCTGTGGCCCACGGAGAGAGGAGTCCACGCTGGAGTCCAACAGGTTTGCTGGCAGGACTTGTGACCCCGTGGGGGACCCGCGCTGGAGCAGTCTGTTCCTGAAGGACTGCACACCATGGAAAGGACTCATGCTTGAGCAGTTTGTGAAGAACTGTAGTCCATGGGAAGGACCCATGTTGGAGAAGTTCATGGAGGACTGTCTCCCGTGAGAGAGAAAATTGGGAGTGAAGCTAAGCCCAGTGAAGAAGGGAGGGATGTGGGGAAAGTATTTTAAGGTTTGGGTTTGTTTCTCATTACCCTACTCTGATTTCTCTAGCAATAAATTAAATTAACTTCCCCAAGTCAAGTCTGGTTTGTGCATGATGGTAATTGCTGAGAGATCCCTCCCTGTCCTTATCTTAACCCACAAGTTTTTCATTATATTCTCTCCCCTATGCAGCTGAGGAGGTGAGTGATAGAGTGGCTTTGGTGGGCACCTGGTGCCCAGCAAAGGTCAACCCACCACATGAAGCAATGTGCAGGCTTCTCCTACCTTTGTATGTGAGCATCTCTGTGCATTACTGGGTTATCTTCATGGTCTGGAAGGGAGGAAGTGCTGCCACAACCATCCTGCTATGGCAGGAGATGAGCAGAGGGACACATTCCATCAGTACAAAAAAATGCCCCCCTCCCAGCTGAATGCACTGAGGGAGCTGGAGCTGAGCATCACACCTGGTTTTCACCTGCATGCGCCAGCAAAGACAAATCCACCAGGAGTGACCAATTTCATAACCCTCAGAGAGGCTTGAGGGCCTTGTGTCCTGGGTGAGACAGGAGTGCAGTGGGATTTACCCCAGTGGCACCTGGGGCTGCTTCCAGGGGAATCGCTAGACAGCATCTACAGAGTTTGCCCATCACGGGCACCAGCCTGAACACAGTTCTGATGATCCACCAGATGCACCAGATCCTTCTACAATTATTGTACAGTTGGGCCTATTTTGTTATTAAACCTCCTCTGTCGTGGATCATATTTAAGAGAGTCCAAAACCAAAAATCAGTTCTATTTACTAGTGCACAGAAGAGGTAAATGTAAATACTGTACAGTATGTACAGTTACTGTACAACTGTAACAGTAGAGGTGCCTGAGGACTGGAGGAAAG